CTGGTAGTTTCGAACTGCTGACCTTGAGGTTCACAGCTAACCACTACGCTCCCAGAGCTCCTTGGGCTTGCCTGTTGGCGCATGGATATTATCCTATACAGACAGAGTTGTTTCTCATGACTGATCTGGATATGTTCTTTTTGCTGGCAATGAATGCAACACCATTTCTCTTCAATTTTTCATTCCTGGCATAGTAATCCATGTGGTCATCAGATTCAAAATGGCCAATACTAGTCCATTTGAGCTCACTAATGCCTAAGATATCGATGTTTATGCATTCCATTACATTTTTGACAACTTCCAATTTTCCCAGATTCATACTTCGTACATTCCATGTTCTGATTTTTAATGGATATTTACAGGTGTTTCTCTTCATTTTGGCAGCTCTTCCCCAGTCGCATTTTGAGCGCCTTCCAACCTGAGGGTTTCATTTTCTGGCACTGTATCTGACAGTGTTTCTCTGCTATTCATAAGGTTTTCAGTGACTAAATATTCGCAAGTAGTTCGTCACTCTTTCTTCCTAGTCTGTCTTCATCTGGAAGCTCATCTGAAACCTGTCCACCTTGGGTGACCCTGGTGGTATTTAAAATACTGGTGGCATAGCTTTCAGAGTCACAGCAACTCACAAGCCACCACAGTACAACCAACTGACAGAGGAGAGGTGGTGAAATGTGTAACTGAGGGGAAAGAACTCGACAACTTTTTTTTCTGGATAGCACTGAAAATGCATTCCACCAGAGAAGAGATTTTTGTTTTTTCAATTTATAATTATTTTGTGAGCTTCATCGAGACTGGCAAATACAAGTTGGGTGTGAGAGGCCAAGAAGGGTGCTGCTACTTGATTAAGAGAGGGTGTATCTGAATGTCAGTTCACTTACTTCCTTATTGATTAACCAAGAACAGTTGGTGATCAGCCTTCTGATCTTGATTAAGTTTTAAAGGGATAGTGAAAGTTAAGACCATAGTTAATTGGGGACCATGAAATGCATGCCACATCAGTGGGCCGGCAGATAATGGGCAGTGAGTCCAAGACTGCTTTCCTTCCTGAGGCACTCTGGCTTTCAAGAGTGAGTGAGATAAAACATTACTTAAACTAGAGAGAACATTTATTTTTAAATAGGATAGGCATAATTTCCTCAAGATTCTGATGCTAACTAACATTAAAGAACATTTCTAGATTCTTAAATGGCTTGCTCTAGGGATGTACCTCCATAAGACACTCAATACCTTGACTAGCTGGAACCTCTCACTCAGGCCAAACAATGATATTTAATTTTGAGGATAAAATGTCAGGGATTTTTAAACACCAAACTGTGATATAAATAATTCTATAGAAGTATGCCTCCTGACAACTGGTGATATTCTTTATTTATCAGAGAAAGAAATTGATGCTGTATTATTTGGCATAATTTACAAACCACACGTAGTGGTGCAACAGAAAATGAAGACATTCTTTTCAGACCATATGCACCCTAAAAAGCACACTAGGAATCAATCCAGTGCTCTCACCAACTTGAAGCATCTAACCTGCCAGCCTTTGGGTGTAGTATTTTAATCAGCCTAGCTTCTGATGGAACCTGAAGAGTGGTCTTCAGAGAGAAATTGCTCCATAATTTCTGGATCCACATTTAATTGATTCATCATAATATTAAGCAGAATAGCCTGTTGCCATTCCCCAAAATCATTTAGCTTGGTGCTAAATTGTCTACTCAGTGAGAGGGAAAATGTAAGAAACACTGACCTCGTCCTGACAAGTGAAATACTTACGACTTGCTCGATGGGATTCTCTTCACAGCACCGTACAGATTTGTAGAGTATGAAATCTTCTAAGGAGTTTTCTGCAGAGAAAAGAACTTGGGATTCAAGATGCTGATTTCTGTCATTGAGAAAGTAGATGTAGGCCCCTCTGCTTCTGTTTTGGTTCCTGTTAGCTCAGAAGGTCTCTAGAGTTGTCCCAGAGCTGCTAAGTGGAAAATGCCTGCTCTTTTTTCACCCTGCCTCTTTCGAGTGACCAGCCCATTAGACTGACTTTCTCTAGAAGTAAACCTATGTGTAATTGACTTTGTTTTAACCCAAACTGAAATATATTTTCTTTTGTTTCTCTGGCACAGAAACTTGCCTTCATGGTGTCTCTAGGGTTGGTAACACATGACCATCTAGAAGGTAAGAGAAGATATTCATGTTACTGCCTTTCTTCTGGCCCAGTGATGTGTTCCTGAAAGTGGCGTTTGATTGCATTCCTAGAATAGAACATTGGAACACAAATAGAGTATGAGTCAACCAGCATGGACTTTTATTTCGTTCAGAGGAAAACTCGCTTTCCCTCTGTCTAATGTCCAGGCCCTCCCTTACCTATTATTATTCACTCTGTGTCTTAGGGAAACCTGCCCCAGCTGCTTGGATTAAGGCGATTTCTTGTTCACATAATGGGACTAATCCTTTTTTCTGACAAACAAAGTAACAACTGCCCTTTATAATGACAAGAACGGGTCTGTAGTTTTCAGAATATTAATAATTATAAAATTGTACCTGTCCTAGGTTTTTAATTCAAGAGTGGTGAGCAGTGGTTACTCAGTCTCAGTCTGTGGATGATGCTTATCCATACTTACACACAGTAGTGTACAAAGAAATCAGGACAGTTCAGTCCCAAGTGTTGCCTACTGCTAAGCTCTTGCTCACAGAGAGCCCACTGCGCACAGCACGGTCTTGTTTTCCGTGAGGTGAGGTGAGAGTAAAAGGTCCTAGTAGCTGCTCCCAGCAGCTTTGCTTTGTCTGCAGAGGATGCCATGAAACAAAGGAATGCTGCCCCCAGCCCATTTCTGATCTGTCGTGGGAAAACCAGTAGATAGAGTAGTGAAGTGAAGTTTTGGGGGTTCTTCATACCTCTTTTCTAATCCAACCCCTTTTCCTTTTCCCAAGAAATCCAAAGCAAGAGGCAAGAGCGTAAAAGAAGAACAACTGCAAATCCTGTGTACAGTGGAGCAGTCTTTGAGCCAGAGGTATTCCTGGCCTGCACTTGGCCCTTCCCTCACTGTCCCAGAGATGCAACTCCTTCAGCATCTCCCATCCGAGAGCCTGCTTAGGAGTAGCCACCCACATTGTATTCGGGCAACTTTGTCAAGTGATCAATTTTTCTCTGACTCCATCACATTCATTTTTATCACGGCTTTCCCCTGAGTTTTTTGCCTGAGTTTGAGCAGATACAGAACTACCTTAAAAATGTAATTCATCCGGGCATTACCATAACTTCCATGTGAGGCAGAGATGGCCTCTCTGAAACCTTCTCTGAGAGTCATGGAGAGGTAATGAAGGCCTTACCACGGAGACCTGGGGTGATTAGCAAGAACTAGTTGGCATGTTGACAGGCACCCTGAAATTGGTCTTTAGCTTGTCCAGAATTAGGAACAATGGTCTTCAACCAGTCACCTTTCCCTTCTTCAATCCTCAAAGCGTAAGAAGAGTGCAGTCACATACCTGAACAGCACAATGCATCCTGGGACTCGGAAGCGAGGTGAGTCCCCTTTTGTATCTCTCCCTTGCTGTTGCTTTTGCTTTATGTGTGTTTCTTCCCCCTTCCTCCTCTCATTGTCCTAGAGCCGTTCCAACTCCTATATCCTTTGATAATAGTTTTGTTGTTGTTCTGTGAGAATGAGTGAGATTTCTTATCAAAACTCTGCATGCTGAATCAAAAGCTAACTTCCTTAGGATTCTGGCAAAGCTGACTCAAGGGAATGGCTTCATGCAGCGTTTCTGTCCCAAGCCTACCAAGTCGTCCATGAATAGCACAGTGAACAGAACACCATGTAAAAGGAAGCATTTTAGCATCATTAAACAGAACAGAACACTGCTGTTGCCAAGGTGTTCTTAATAGTGTCTAAGTCATTCTACTGCCAGCAAGGCCAGAGCACGACTAGGTTTCTGTGAGCCACAGAATTTCCAGGAAGGGGAGAGCTAACAACCACACAGAGAACTTAGAATCTGTGAGGAGAGGGCATCTTCAGCTATAGGAAGGAAAGGTCACTGTCAAAACAGGCTCCCAAAGCAGAGATTTCTAAAGAGCCAAGTTCTCTTATTGTAGACCTCCCCAGGGGCATTCCACCTCACTCTTAGGGAGAGCCAAAAACAACAACAACAACAACAGCATCTCTCACTGTGCAGGTCTAAATAGGTCTTAATAGCTCAGGGTTTGAACTCATAAACAAGATGTAGGAATTGCTCTTTGATGTCAGTAATACATCCCAAGGTCCCTTTCTCTACATGATAATGTGTCCCTGAATTATAGTTCCAGGCTACTGAGGTTGCAGACTGAGTGGAGTAGCATACTAATTGTGGGTCTTTCCACACACGTTCAGGGCTGTGAGAACCTTGGGAGGTCAGGTAGACCCTTCCACAGGACTGCAGCGGCACTGGTGGAGATTGCATACCCACCCCGCTCCCAGCGGCCCATTGTGACAATCAGCCCTGTTCTTCAGCTAGCCAGAAATAGTTCATTCAGGAAACCCTGAGCCACTGCTTCGTTTTGATTTCTGGACTACAGGCACCAGTATCATTGCTTGTTTGTTGTTGTTTTGGTTTGGTTTGCATAACTTGTTTTGTGACCTCTGGTTCATTTCTTAACAAGAAACCTCCAGCCTGAGGCCACTATTAACTGGCCTGCTGGTAGGTAGAATCTGCTGAGAGCACAGGGGTGAAATGAGCCAGAAGGACCTTGGCATCTCTCATCAAGGTCAGAGGAGGAAAGTCTGCATTTGCTATGCCCAGGATGTGCTTTCCATGGGTAAACAAAGAGCAGTCGCTTCTGCCTCCCCATTTAGCCACACTAAATTCCCCAGAAGACACAAACCAGTAAGATCTGTCTGTCTTCTGCAGACATTGCCAGTTTCATACAGTTAGGCAATATTTGTGCTTAGACCTGATAAACATTATAACTGTTGGCAGAGTCACGATCATACGTACCATTTACCTGTGTTCAGAGGCAGTGTTGAACCTGTCTGCTTCCCCTTTTTCTCTTGGTGGACTGGGCATGCGCTTAAAATCTGTGAGCCTAGCCCTCATAAAACAGGGACCCCTGACTTAACTATTTCTTTGGCAAGCCTTGCTGCCCCCATCAGAGTTCATTTATTGACGATCCTCTGTGGTGTGAGGTTTGGTTCATAGTGCTCTTGCTTAAACCAGGTCTCCCAGGTTGCAGTGTTGCTAACAGCAGGACTTTTCCTGAGACTGGGAAATGGCCCGGGTTCTTAGTTCACCAGGATGCCTATGATGGAGGGAGATGACTATCAGTGAGCTGATGGAGAGTTATCTGAGGCCAGAGATACTGAAATTCATCGTTAGTCCCAGAGCAGCTGTTAAGTTCCTAGTTTCCATCTACTGCCAGGACATACCTTCACTAGCTCTCCCCTACCAGCAAGGCCAAGAACAAGTCACTTGAAGGTCGCCTCCTGGCTTTCCCTCTCTCCACCCCCACAAGCAGTGAAATCGCCAAAATGTAGACAGGAGAGAAAAGAAAAGGGAAAGCAGAATGCCTAACTAAATTAGTCTGTGGGCCTTGAGGATCATTGTTACTGTAAAAATAATTACATGAGCACCTTAGCAAAAATAAATATGAAAAGCAAAAAAGAATTTCTTATTCCTGGCCTTAGCTCCCATTGGAAATTTGACTTTTTGGTTCTCTCATTAGAAATCTCCATTTGGGATAGTCCAGGAACTTGGCCATAATCTGCCAAGGCGAGGCCTTCTGACATAATCCAGCCCTCTGTCAGTCTCCAAGACCCTCTACTCCTCACTGCTTGTGAGACTCATATAGCTGTTTCTAATGGCATTGAAATCTTTGCTTCTCTTCTTCTCTTGGGGACTGTTGTATTAACCTTCTGTCTGCTACCTCACTTCCTTTTCCATGCTAGCCAATGAGGAACACTGGCCAAAGGTATGTAAGACCATGTTTCCCCCCTTTTTTCCCCTCCCCCTCCCCCCTTTTGTTCCCCTCTCTTGGTATATAGGTCGTCCTCCAAAATACAATGCAGTACTGGGGTTTGGAGCCCTTACCCCAACATCCCCCCCATCCAGTCATCCTGACTCCCCCGAAAATGAAAAGACAGAGAGCACATTCACTTTCCCTGCACCTGTTCAGCCTGTGTCCCTGCCCAGCCCCACCTCCACAGACGTAAGTAACTTGGGAAAAGCTCACTCTCTTTCTGAGAGCTTCAGCTGGGGAAAACCGTTATCATATGTTGTCTCCTTATCAACTCGCAATAAATACCTTGACTAACCCTGGAATAGGCAATAATCCCTACAGGACACTCTGCATTCTATTCTGGGGTACCAGGCCCTTCCATGTCATTGAGAACCATGTTAGATGCAACATCAGGACGCTTAGTCAGAATTCGCAGAGTTGAATTTGATCTCATATGAGTAAATTCTCCAACAGTGGCATGAGATGGAGAGTTCAGTTCCGTGTGCAAGTCCTGTCATCAGTGCTTGGGGGTGGAGGCAGTGGACAAGCAGCCCTTGTTTCCTGCTTGTGTAGAATTCGAGAACTGGACATTTTCACTTTCACGTAATTTTCTGCAGCAGAGTTGATCAGAAACAGACTCCTGGGAAGCTGCCAGATACTAAGTGGCCCTTCATCCAGAAACGTCAGGAGTATGAACTCAGACTCACAAGCCTTTAAATGACCGTTTATGAAGCAGTGAATCACCTCCCATTCGGTCGTTTACTCAACAAGTACTTGAACATTCTTTTGTGCTCAAGCTCTGTTCCTCAGGTTGGGGATATCAGCAAAACTGCCCCTCTGCCCTCACGGAGCCAGATGATAGGTGAATACATAGCCTGTCAGGTCGTGTTAAGTGCTGTGAGACAATGAGGGAGGAACATACAGAGTTGTGGCTGGAGTTACTATTTTATGAAGTTGGTGAGAGAAAGAGCATTCCATGCAGAGGGAACAGCAGTGCAAGAACCCTGAGGTGGTAGAAGTACCGAGGCATGCTAGAGGAGAAGTACAAAGACCAGGAGAGCTGGGGCAGAACCCCGGTGACAGTGGTGAGAGGTGTAACCAAGAGGTGGCAAGGCTCGCTCCCAGTCATAGTGGGGACCACCAGAGGGTTTTAAAAGAGGAACAACATCTTTTGTTTTGTTTTGTTTTTTTCAACTTTCTATTTTGAAAATTTTTGAGCCTCCAGAAAGTTTGCATTAGCAGGACATAGGACAAATGTGTCCACTCCAGCTGTATTCACTGGTGGTCTTCATTCTGCTGCATAGACCTTCCTTCCCTCTGCTCCCACCCCCACTCCCCAACAGACACATACATGAACACACACATATACTCACGGCTTTATTTTTTCCAAACCACTTGAAAGTAAGTTGGAAACACCATGAATCTTCAACCTTAAGTACTTTTGCATATTTTCCCTAAGGAAAAGGATAATTTCTTATATATACTACAATGCAGTTTATCAAATTGAGGAAATTTACCATTGATATCATATTATTATATAATATACAGTCTGTGTTCTGGTTTCTTCAGTTGTCCCAATAGTGACTTTTGTGGCACTTCATTCCCCCTCCTCCAGGATCCAAACCAACTCTTGGCATCTCTTGTCATGTTAGTGTCTCTGTAGTCTTCTGGAATCTGGAACCATTTCTCAGTCTTTCTTTGTCTTTCATAACGTTGGCATTTCCGAAGAGCGAGGCCAGTTGCTCTGCAGAGTGTCCCCCCACTTGGATTGTATGATTGTTTCCCTCATAGATTCAGGTGATGCATTTTTGCAGGAACACTAAGTAAACGTTGGTGGCTATCTCAGTTCATCACTATGGGAGGCACATGATGTCAGCTGGTACCATTGTAAGTCATGTTAACTTTCATCACTTGATCGTTTTCACCAAATTTCTCCACTTGAAAAGGTGTCCTTTTTCCTCTGGTGGAGATTGCGGATATATATGAACACCCACCCCCGCAACAAACTGTTGCCATTAATTTTTAGCATCCTTTGATGATCCTGCATTTATTATTTTTAAGGTGTTTGCAAAATCAGCTTTGGTGTTTAAAGGCTGTCTGTTAAGTAAGTAGAAGAGACTGGGGGAGGATAGGGAGGCCAGTTGGGAGGTTATTACAGTCATCCTGGCAGTGAGATGATGGCAGCTCAGCCTGGTAGCCATAGAGATGGAGGGCAGTGATGGGATCTGAACATACTCAGGATTGGATATGGGCATGAGGAAAAGAGAAGAGTCAATGGTAAATTCAGTCTTTTTGACAAAAACAACTGGAAGAATGAAGCTGCCCTTTACTGGGGTGGAAAGATGGATAAGAGGAGCAGATTTGAGGAGGAAAAGAGTTTCATTCTGCTTATGTCATGTTTCTTTTGTGAATTACATAGCGTGTCTTTGACCATCTCCAGGTAAAATGGCCCCTAGACTTGGAAGTTCTCAGAATTTACTAATGGCCTGCCCCTTTCCGAAGAACAAAAGAAAACCATATAAACATTAGAAGTTAAACATTTTCTGACTTCAGCTGTTCTGTTAATGAACACCAGGAATCTCTTGTTTGCTGACACCAGAAATTGCCCCGACTTCCCCTCAGTTAAAGCATTGCCAAAGGATTACCACTTCCTAGTTCCTATTACAGCTCTTCCTCCGGCACTGGGCACATATGCTGCACAACACGTGATGTGCTTCTGCGCCTGAGCTTTTTCCTCAACAAGGTTATTTCTTTTCTGGTTTTGTTTGTTTTTTTTGATTGAGGGGGCTTATGGTTTTCCTTCAAAGATTGAGCTTAAAGGATCCACTCAAGATCAAATCACAAACTAAAAACTTCTGTCAAGTTTCATCTTCAAATGCTAACATTGTTCTTTTAAGAACTCTAAAAATAAAAGAAAGCTTTTCTGAAACCACTAAATATGTCCACAACCTCCTAAGTGAAACCCACTGGAATGGATTCTTTTTCGTGTTTTTTTTTTAAGATAATTGACTTCTACTTTTACAGTCTCCCAACGGTGTCAGTGATTAAAATCAACACACAGGGCTCTGTATGTTTGCTGCTGGGTACCATAAGCCCCAGCAACATTAATTAAACAATAACAGTTGAGAGGCAGGCATTTCCTAAAGATCAATAACCATCTAAGAAGGTGTTAGTAGTAAAAGAACCAGCCCGACACTAAGCCTCAAGATGTATCTTGTTGCCATTATCAGCCTTCTTATAAGAAGAGACCTGGAAGAACAAACAAGATGGCGGATCAGGTAGAAGTGCAGTGAGGAGCTCCATCACTAACAACACAGAATACTGGACCAAGCAGGCTCAGATGGTGCCAGACCTCTGAACCACATATCAAGGAATACTTAGAAGGAAGATTGGAAGGCTTACAGCTAGGGGAATTTGTAGCAGAAGCAAGAATTCCATTGCTTTATAATTCAAGATGCTCAGCTGCTCCCGGAGCCACCATCCTGGGCAAGACCAAGTGTGGGGAGGATCAGAGTAGCCACAGATGCCTGACAACCGCAGAGGTAAAGGTGTAGACATTCTTATTTATTTATTTTGGTATCTGTTCATTGGTCTCTCACTGTCTGCACACCTCCATTCTGGTGACTAGAGGGATGTCTGAGTGAGTGGACACCCCACCCCCAACCCCAGAGGGTTCTACTACGCATGTGCACAGATCTCCTCAAAATTTAAAGTGACAGTTTCCACTTAAAACCAAACGGCAGTGCAAAACAGCCACAGCAGGCCCTGAACTGTTTTATCACTAGGAAAAAGGCCTGAAAGGGGGTTGTGGAGTGGGACAGGCAGACTGAAAAGGAAATAGGCCAAAAATTAAATCCTGAGTTACGTCACATCAATCAACAGTGGCATCTTGAAATTTCTCAGAAAGAAGACTGAAAAGGGAAGCCAATCTCCTGATTACATCTACCTGGAGGTAATCGGAAAGCATAAAAAACAAAATACACACCCATCTAAGTACTAAGCCACAGATAACTCTTGAATATTCCCAAAAAACAATCAGATGACCATATCTGCAGATGTCCAGAAACGAGATAAAGTGACTGAGGCAAATGAGCTGGAAGTAGACCTACACTCCATACTGGAAGATGGGCAGGCTTTGGAAATGCCTGAGAAGGAATTCAGAAAAATGATTGTAAAATGTATCAAAACACTATACAATGGAGTTGAGAAAAATAAGGAAGAAGTCAGGAAAGCGCTACAGGAACAATCAAATAAGATAGATACAGCATTGGAAACAATTCAAAACCTACAGAAAGAGGTCCAAGTGATTAATAATAGAATATCAGAAATGGACAATACACTGAAAGGGCAAAGGAGTAGAATCAAAGAACTAGAAGTCAGAACTAGTGAGCTAGAAGATAAATCTCTCAACACTACTAAGATAGAAGAGCAAACACAAAAAAGAATTTAAAACAATCTGAAGAAGGCCTAAGATTCATGTTGGACAATATGAAGAGGAATAACTTAAGAATTATCGCATTCTGGAACAGGAAGAATCACACAAGCCCACAGAGGAGAGATATTGAAGAGCTTCTGGAAGAAAATTTTCTTAACATTCTGAAAAGCGTAAAGGTAAACATTCAAGAAGTTCAACGAACCCCAGGAAGGATAGACCCTAAAAGACAATTACCAAGACTTATAATAATCAAGCTCTCCAAAATCAAAGATAAGGACAGAATCCTGAAAGCAGCTAGGGAGAAGTGTAACATACAAAGGCAAGAAAATCAGATTAAGTTCGGATCTCTCAACAGAAACCATGCAGTTAAGAAGGCAATGGGGAGACATATATAAAACCCTGAAAGAAAAAAACTACCACCTGAGAATCCTCTACCCAGCAAAGCTGTTAATCAAATATGATGGTATAATAAAAATATTCTAGGATAAACAGAAGCTAAGGAATTTTGCCAATGCCAATCCTGCTATGAAAAACATTC